TTCGTAGTACTATTTATAGCCCTTTCTGTACATTCTCATTGAAAAATTAAAAAACTTGACAATGTCTGATTTGCAAATCGCAGTGGATAAAGATTGAAAAAAACGATGAAGCATTTTTAGAACAATTGTATTGAAATTATAAACAGAGCATAAGATTCATTATGAAATTCTACATTTCTTTATCTAAATTTCAAAATTTCAGAAAGCAAATGAACAAGAAAACTCTTCTGTGAATTTTAGAATCTGACAATACAAAACCACTTTTCTGACAGAATATTTATATCAACAGCTTTTAGATTTCAATTCTGTTTTTAAAGATATGTAAATAAATTTTGCACAAACAGATTCGAATTTCGGAAAATTTGATTTCATGGGAACTATTAATCGTAAGAGAAAAATTTGCATTGATTCGTGTCGAATTTTATCGGAAAAAGGTTTTAACCAATCAATAATATCTGGAAAAAACATAAAAGTGCGGTTTTAAGATTATGTTTTAAACTTTTGAATTTTGTATATAAGGAAAAACATTTTTAAAAAACAAGGTTAGCAGTTTTCAGAGCATTCATTTTCCTACCAATAGAGAAGAGAATAATAGTATATTGTTAAAAATTGATATGTTCCATGAAGATTATGGCTACCTAGAACTATCTTATTGAAAACAAGATTGTGTTGTGTAAAGAATAAATTGTTACATAAATGGATGTCTCAAACTTTTTCTCATAATTAAAAGAAGAAATATCTAAACAAATACCATATCATATGAAATTATTGAAATTATTTAAAAGGATCATTCTTGAAGTGATCTAATCCTTCCTAGAGTTTATCAATAGAACATTAATTAGTTTTTACTATTTTCAAACTATCATTTTCAAGTAAATGTATCAGCTTTTTTTATAGGATTTAAAATGAATAATTATCATGCTTGAATAGAAAATGAGCTATTATTATTCAGTTTTTTTTATATTTGAAATTTTTTTATTTCATATAGGAAACAAATGTAGATCACTCATCGATAAATGTTACTATCTGTTAGAATTTTCAATGATTAGATGAAAACATTTTTCATGTATCAGAGAATATCTGAAGAATGACTTTTATATTTCGTTTTGTCATAAGTTTCACACTTTTTTATTCCACTGTTCTATTTTTTTTATCATAATAATAAAATTCTGATCTATCAAGACGTGGGTATGAGTCTTCATTTCAACCACACTCACACCCGTTTTCGACCATGAATACCTTCTAGAATAACTACACAAATCGTAGGGTGGGTGTGGGTATGGGTGGATTTATATATTATGCTCATTACATTGAAACTCGCTGAATTTTGATCGAAATGAGATAGTGAAACCAATGTTATCTCATAAAGAACGATTCATATAACAAGAGAGACGAGCACGAAGTGATTGTTCTCAAAACTTTGTTGGACGATGCACATCTCTGTTACATATTTGAGGCTTCTCTGGCGTTTTGAAAATTTATTTCAGGTTAATTATTCAATTTAATTATTGTCGTATGATTTTATGTATATTGAATAATAATAAATTCAATATTAAAATGCGTGAAAATTTCTTAGTTCTATGTATCTCGTTGATGATTATTACTGAGAAAAACGGGCAGCAAGATGTAACTAAATCAAACAAAATTTTCATTATTACTTTTATACTATTAAAGTACCTTTCCTCTTAAGGAAGATGATGTTCAAAAGATAATTTGAGAAACAAACGCGAGTTTATTATAATTATCTTGCTTAACAAAACAGAAAAAAAAACAAATTTTCATATTTTAACCACAACTTAATATGAAATCATTTACATTTGATTTCGACTTGGATATTGTCTTTGAAAGTTTCTTGAAAAAATATTTTGTACATTTGATAATGTTTTATACAATTGCTCAAATATTGCTAAATCATTGTTTGTAGTCTGTTTTTGTTCATTATTTATAATTACTTCTAATGATGTTTTAACAGACGAAAGTACAAGATGAAGATCCAGTAAAAGACTATATGTATCACCGGGACTTAAACCATTTTCATTAATTAATGATGCTTCGGAACCTTGTTTAAAAAACTCTAATGCATAACTGTTCAAATGATATGATGTATTCGTATGATCACGACAATCAATATCAACAAATGGAACAACTTTTGGTGATAAATCAAGATCATAAACAAGATCCCATGAACTAATAATTGAATTATAATTTGACATAAGTTGTTCATGTGTAAGACCTGATAGGCCAGCAAATGGTGATATTGATGGATTCTTTATTTGTTGTGATTCATGATAATGAAGATTATATTCAAATGTTCCATTATCATAATCAGGTTTTTGAGAAAATGATATATTCGAAAAAGGCAAAATTTCTTCTTGTTCATTATTTAATGAACGTAAATATTTTGTTACATTTTCTATATAACATCCATATACATCTTTAACTATTGAATTGTATTTATCAACACGCTTTCGAAATTCCTCTGAAATTGTTGGTAAAAATAATTTCGAATTATATTTAGATTCTCGTCGATAGTCTGATAGATCTTGGTATTCACTACGTGTAATTAACCTATAAAATATATGGAATATATATTAAGGTTACGTTCCTCTCCCCTACGTTCTGAGTTTAAAAATCAATTATTTTGTCTTTTATGCATACATGTACTTAAGAGTGTCTTCTGGTAATATGCAAAACAAAAACTTCTGTTGATTTTGAAAACAACGATTTTTGAGATCTCATAGTCATTTCACTTTTTAGTGGATGTAGAAGGGTGTGTGAGGCATTGTCCTACATTGGTTTTAGATACGATCAATATGGCAAAATCGAAAATTTTTGACTTCAAATCTATTTCTTCTCATAGTAATAATAAAGAAGTATATTATTCATGTGTATTTAATTATGGACATTTTGTAGGAATAAAAGAAAGACTATTGCTTTACCTTAATTAATTCAATATGATAAGAAAAATCGAACTGTAACATTTTTTTCACATGTAATAACTACTATTTAACGGAGATATATAAAGAAACCAAAGAGAGATGTC